CCAAGAAAACTAACACAATATTATCAAATATGAATGTAGATATAAGAGAAAAGGAAACAATAGTAAGAACTACTCAACTCAATTATCATATATATATATATATATATATAGGGTGAGAACCCCATTCCTCAACAGAAATAATTTTGGTAATATACAAGCTATGATAGATAACCTTATTTGGGTTTATCTTATCAAGGATAGGCTTGGTAAAGATAGATTTAGTGTAGTAGAGAATATCTTGGTAAAAACTATGGGGTTTTTCCAAGTCTACTGGAATATAGGTCCAACCTTTTGGGAGGTAGGCATTTACAAGGTCTTTTGGATCCTTGTATTTAGAATGAGCTAGTTCAATGGCTAGAACATTCTGGGAATGGGCTTTGATATAATCAACCTTTGGGCCTGATTGGGCTACAAAAGGTTGTGAGGCCTTATAAGGGTTTGTCATGACACTAGTGGTCCTGACAGGTGGCTGTTGGGCCATTTGGGTAAAGGTAAGTGGATTGACAGTGGTTAATACGGCTACTGGCCGAATAACCAAGGCAGATTGGGCTGCTGGCCTACTGGGCTGAGCAGTTTCAAATGATAAAAATTTGTTTGACAAGGCTACTGGCAAGTCAGGTTCAGATTTGGGTTGTTTTTGTTTATCCTTTTTCCCCCCCGGATTTTTGGAGGAGGTTCCGGATGAACTAGGTTTCCTGTCCGCCATGAGGTTCCTGCAAAAATTCTCTGGTTAGGAAATCAGGAATATAATTATGTTCGCCTTTGATATATTCTATATCAAAATCGAAAATACTTAAAATAGATTGCCATCGAGCAAAAATTTGCTTAGCAGCTATATTTTTGACGTCTTTGGTTAAAACATCCTTGACTGATTTACAGTCAACCCGCACAAGGAATTTCTGATTCAATATATCATCCTGGAATTTAGAGATACACAGGACAATAGATAAAATCTCTTTTTTAATAGTGGAATAATTCTTTTGAGTTTTATTCCAAATACCAGAATGGAATCGAACAATTTGTTCAGGAGAATTAGGAGATTCTCTCTGAAGGAGGATTCCACCATAGCCAATATCAGAGGCATCAGTCTGGATGATTTTGAAAGAATCAACGGACGGGATACCAAGACAGGGAAGAGTTTTTATGAACTTCTTGACCTGTTGAACAATGGAAGTATGGACAGTGGTCCAAGGAGAAGGATTTCCTTTGAGCCTGTCATACAGAGGTTTGATGGTTTTCCTAAGATCCTGATAAAAGTCAGAAACATAATTTAGGGAACCTAAAAACCTTTGCAATTATGTTTTGTCTAGGATTTCATCTGGAAATTTATTTGCAAACTGGATGGCTCTACTAATAGGAGTGATAGCAGAATCCTGGATATTGTATCCTAAAAACCTTGCTGAGGTTTGGAACAATTTAATTTTGGATGCAGATAGAACTAATCCATTCTGTTTGACAATTGTATGAAAAGCATAAAGGTGCTTCCAATGTTCTTCTATTGTTCTGGAGAAGATGAGGATATCATCTATATAAACAATAGAGAAAGGACTGATACAACTGAATATGTCATTCATTATGTTCTGGAATTCACTTGGGGCATTTTTTAACCCAAAAGGCATGACATTCCATTCATAATGTCCAAAAGGAGTGGTAAAAGCGGTTTTATACCTATCCATAGGGTGGATCTGTATTTGCCAAAAACTACTTTTAAGGTCAAATTTGGAAAAGATAGTAGACTTATTGAGTCTTTTTATCAAATCCTGTTTGTTAGGTATAGGGTACCTAATCCATTCTAAAACCTTGTTTAAAGGTTTATAGTTTATGACCAACCTTGGGACTCCTCTTTCTAATTCAGCGTTTTTGACTACATAGAAAGTAGGACAAGACCAAAGTGACTTGCTATTCCTGATGATACCATTTTTTAGTAACTCTGAGATTTCTTTTTTACAGATCTCAGTAGTTTCATGGTTCATTTGGTGGTCTGGATTTAGTAGGGATATTGTCTTCACTAAATCCTTTAATATAAGAAAGTCTGACTATGTGCTTTTTCCTATGCTAGAATGTTGTAGGAAGAGAAGAACAAACTTCTGATTCAAGTTTTTCCTTAAACCTATCAATCTTTTGTTGTAAGATTGGGTTGGTTAGGTTTTCTTTAGTTCTGAGGTGGTTAATCTCTTGTTTAAGAAATTCCACTTGTTTAATTTTTCTATTTATAACATTAAGGGACTGTGAGACAGAAACGTCTTTTAGCTGCCTTAAATGTTTTCTTTCTGGTTTAGTGATAAATGTAAATACAATTTTTCTCCCAAAATGCTTGGTTGATATTCCATCTGTATTTGTACTAAAAGGGTACAAAAGATATATAAATGGAAGACCAAGTATAACAGAGTCAGTCATGTCTTTGACAAGTAAGAATGATGTTTCAAAACATACATCTTGTTGACATACATGAACTCTTGGAAGTTTGTATTTAACATTCATCTTACTGCCATTAGCAGAACTAATTCTTTCCAATGTTTTTTCATAAAACATGGTTGGAACTAATCCTTCTTGGATGCAGTTTACATCTGCTCCAGTGTCTAATAAGGCAATAACAGTGATATGATAACTATTGTTAATGATTAATTTAACTTCAACATGCCATTTTTGGACAGTTAAAGAATTAATCAGGCTAATTCTTTTATCATCATTTATGCCTACTTCATGGAATGAAGACAGGTTCGTTACACCAGAAGTTTCCGTCTGAAAGGAAGAGGTTACTGGTATCCCCTGTGTAAAGCTTTGATGATCAAAAGGATTAGTAAAATCTTCAGTCTGATCTTCTGGATCAGAATCCTGGGATTTTTCAGAATGTTTTTCTGTTTGTAAAAGTGTTAAAGCTTCAGCAAATTTTTTGTCTTGAGCTTTTAAATCTTTTATTTCTAGTTTAAGCTTATTAATTTCACTCTGGAGATCTTGTAAGGTGATTTCTTTTTTCTTTTCCTTACTGAATCTTTCCATAGTTTTGTTAAGGCTTATTAATGGTTTTTCAATGATAGGTTGCTTATTATCCTTTTTACTGAAAAGGTTTCTAAGCTGTTTTACATACTTATCTTTCAGATCTGGATCTTCTATCTTGGAGATCAAGTCTATAAGTATGTGTTCTTCATTTTGTTTAGTGATTACCCTGACTTGTTTTTGACAAGAGCATCCTATTTTAATTCTAGGTTTATCAGGGTGATCAGAGGCTGAATAATAATCTGAAGAGTCTGAGGTGTCTACTGGACTGCTTGATTCTTCAGAGCTTTCTAGATTATTTATCCTAAAGATTTCAAGGATTCTGTCCTCATCGTCTTGGGATAAATTTAATCTTTTGACCTGTTTTTTAATTGGACAATCAGGACTAATGTGACCTGGTTTTCCACAGTTAAAACATTTAATATTATCTTGGACTTTTCCCTTTCCTTTTCTATCTGTCTTTTTGGATCTAAAATGTCTTCTAGGTTTTCTTGAAGATTCAGGTTTAGATCTTTTAGCAGTTTTGTGGTGAGGGAAAAATCTTTGGTAAGATTTATGTTTAGAATAAGGCTTATGTGATTTGGATTTTCTGTGTTTCTTATGGGAAGGAGCTAATGGCTGTAACCCATATTGTTCACAAAAATTTCCCAATTCATATTTAGCCTTATGTTTTTCATTTGTTAATTGCTTATTGATTCTCAAATCAACACACCATTTTAATCCTACATTCTGGATGGTGCTAATGAGTTCTCCATAAGCAAGATTATCATATTCAATGATTCCTGTGTCTTTGCTAAGGGCTTCTCTAACCTTATGGGCAAAGAGATTAGGTAGTCCATTAACAAATTTTTCTTTCCAGAAAGCTTTTTGGCAATCTGGGCGAACCATAACACGAGAAACAAAGACATCTTTATACCACCTAAAGTCACTAAGTGTGGGACATTTTAGGTTGGTCAATTGGTCATGGATCCTAGCAGTTATGCTACTAGGAGTACCAACAAAGTGTTTGATGATGGTGAATATAAGGGTATTACATCCATCAGGTCTAGCTGTTCCAATTCTTTCATCAAAGATTGGAAGGCCTTCATCATCTCTAAGAACAACATTAATGATACTGTCTCTTTGTTCCTGGTTTAAATAATTATCCCACCAATTTCTAAGAACACCTGTGAATCCTGAAACTATTAGTTTGACAATCTCAGGTTCAGGGCTATCTAGATTGGTCATATAATTATTTAACACCATGGATAGATGACTGATTTTATTGAGAATTTCCTGTTCACTTAGACCATCTATGTTCCATTCATAGAGTCTGTTGGACTGAACAAAAAATTGGTTTAACACATTTTTTTCTTCATACTGAAGATCTGGTGGAGTGGGTCTGGAATACCAGTTCTTTGTGGAGCTGGTAGGGACTCTAACCAGTGCATTGATCTTAGAATCAGGTTGGGTCATACTGTGATCCTTAAACTGATTTTCTAAGTTTTCTATTTTAGAGTCAGAATCAGTGGTGTCTTCTGGACTACTGGATTCTGCATTAGACTCTGAGCTTTCTTCAGTTTGGTTGATGACTGTTATTTGAGAAGTACTGGTAGATTCCTTCTTAGATAAGAGTGCATCGATTTGTTGAATTAGGTTTTTATCCTTTAAACCTAGATTCTTCCTTTCTTCAGGTAGGTTGACTAGAGGTCTTTCTACTGAAGATGGTTTGATTTCATCTATTTTAGTTTCAATTTTATCCAACTGTTTACCTATGGTAAATACTCAAAAAAATCGAACCATAATTTCATAATTATCCAGAAATAAAACCACCCAGTAAAGGCTTATTGGGTCATTTCTCAAATCAGACACAACCCTCAATAACTTACTTAAACCAAAACAATTTGACAGCAGACTGAAAAGTTGCCCAATACAGAAATAAAAGGAAAACTGGTAAATAATAAAAACTAATACTACATCAAGCACCACTCCCCTAAAGGACAAGAAAACCCCAATCTTATATTTTAACACTTGACCTCCTTCAAGCCATGGGCAAAGTACAGGAAAGTTGGATCAGTGGCACCCTCCTTGTAGTAGGCAAACACTAGGGTGCTGTCATCATGCATGCTCTCCCCCACGAAAAATTGGAGGTCACTGAGCTTTGAGAGCAGGAACTTGGTTGCCCCCTCGATGTTCTTCTTAAACTCCTCTTGCTTTTCTGCCTCCAGCTTCGGCGTCAACAACTTGATGTACTTCTTGATGTATGAAACAAACTGCTTCTTGTCAAAAGCAGGTTGCTCCTGGAGCCTAAATGTGTCGACAATGTCAACGACCTTGACAGCTTGGTCATCAACGTCTTCGTCATCCTCAGCACCTTCAGCAGAAGGGTTTGCACCAATGTCTACATCAACTGCTCCTTGAACAACCCACTTTCCTTCAACTTCCCAGAGGATCCCATTCTGGATTTCCTTGTATGGGAAGGAGTCTGAGAGAAGCTCATCATTGGTAAGCAAATCTTGATAGACCAACATGATTGCAGACTCTCTCCGGGTCGCCTCACGCATAGACTTCGATTGCAAGATATATATATATATATATATATATATATATATATATATATATATATATATATTTAAAAGCTATTGATTTGGGTACAAAAAAAATCTATAATTGAGATAGATAGTAGGTTCTCAAGACACTAGACTAGCTCTATCTATCTCCTAAAAACTCGTTATACACCTCATAAATTTCCTCCTTGGCTTGGAGACTATCTTCTAAAGTAGTAAGCCTCTCTCCATACGAGGTGAGTGCTCCTACATGATAATCATCCTATCAATCACAATTCTCTCAAAAGAGTTCGTGAGAGAAGCCAAACCAACAACGGGAAGATTGTTGTGGATTTTTATCAATGGAAGATTCTTAGCATCCATGTGATGGTTATGGATGCTAAGAAGTTTATGCATTAGTTTGAGAAGCTAATGGGGTATCTCAACCTAAACTTATGTCGCTATGGTTGTGGTTGTTTATGGTCATCATTGACTATCCTGTGGAATGTAAGCATCACTCAATGTCATAGTAGAATTATCTAGGGTACTTGCTAGTTAAAGCGTTAGCCCACGTAGTATAGCCACAACTCCAAGTCTTAAAGCTACCTGAGTGATAAATCCATGAAGGTAGATCAATAGTAGCACTAATAGCATTGCATGCAACAACCGTACTCGATTACAACCTATGGAAGACACATAGCCACATGGTAATATGGCCCCAATCCCAAGAAGTAGTCAAAATAGGTGATTCAAGAACTTCAGAGCAATCATAAGATCATCTCCCCATTTGGCAGACATAAAAGCAACAATGTCAAGCCTCACCTGAGGAGCATTTGTTGTAAAGGGGAATTGGAAGCCCAACACTAGGTAGTTTGAAATGCTTGGAGATGGATGATGCTGTAATCTCAATGTCCACCTCTTATGTTATTTATATATATACATATTTAATAATAGTGATATATTGATTAGTAAAACATCATTTGCACGAATTATAATGAACATTAAATACATCTATATATAAAAGAGTATATATAGAGTATACATAAAGTACAATAGTACTTTCTAAATTGAGATTGGTGGGAAAGTGAAATTTTCACTTCTCTCCAAAACATTTGGAGTATATGAGTTGGAGGGCAAAGACATGAATTCGACATTGCTTCTTGGAGGTTGTTCATGAATTTATCTTCATCTATAAATAGAGGAAGAACTCCGTCCTCCACTCAAGGTCTCAAGGAATACTCTTAAAGAAAAAAGAAGAAGAAGAAGAAACTGAGATATTAGGACTTCGGTTTATTCGAATGCTAAAACAATGCTTCAAACATGCTTTGCTCCCAGTACTTTTTAAGAATCTCAGTTTCTAGAAACTGAGATATTGGGACTTCGGTTCATTCGAACGCAACCCACGTTCGAACATGAAAAATCTCGTTCGAATGTGACATATATTCTGTTTGAAATTAGTTTTTAACGGCTATATTATTGCAGCCATTTTAAGGGGTGTCTTCTACCATGGTTTTGAAGGGTTACATTCCTTAATTGAGAGATGTATAAAACACTATAAATAGGGTTCAAGTGCAAGAACAAATTATCAAAAATTTAATCCTTCTTATTCTCCTTGATTCAAAGCTTCTATATTTTTTGATTTTCTATTCGGGTTGAGTTTTGATTCCAAGATTACTAAGGAGTGCAGTTTTTAATAATCTTATAGTTAGCATTGTATCCTTGGGGTAGAATTTTCAAGAGTCCATCTATATTATAAGTGAAAAAATTACTATCTCGAAGATAGTGAGTGTCGCACCTTGCCTAGCGATATATCTTCTTCGATTTTTTGATTCCTTGCTTTTCTACTACTTGAAATTGTTTTACCACACTGCATTTCTACAACAATTTTGAGATAATAAAATCTTCTACAATGGATTCTATGGTGGTGAAATATCATCTTCATGAAGTGGAAAGGCTTGAAAGATTCAATGGGCTCAATTACAACTGTTGGAGTATGGAGGTCTTTTATCAAATGACCATTACAAAGGTTGTCTACGTGTTGTCTGTGACATATCTTCAAGGGGAAACATCCAATAGACAATCTTCAAATGATGCAGTTTTTGATGGTGATATAACTTCTAACAATCAAGGATCCTCTGATAACGAACAAATTGAGAAACAAAAGAAATGGATGAAGGATGACTATGTTTGTCGTTTCACCATTCTTAATGCAATGACAAATATTTTGTTCAATGTGTTTCACAAATATCCTACGGCATGGAAACTATGGTATGCGATACAACGAAGGTATGTGAATGTAGATGTCGATAATATGTCTTTTCTTATAAACAAGTATGTTGATTTTAAAATGGATGATTCAAAATCAGTCATAGAACAAATGAATGCTCTCAATGAGATTGCAACTAAATGTGCTGATTCCGGGGAACCATTTTTTGAGACTTTTCAAGTTTCTACAATTATTGGTAAACTCCCATCTTCATGGAAGGATTACCAAAGGATTTTAAAACATAAAAAAAAAAAAGTCTTTAAATTTGGATGAACTAATTCAACACATTTAGATTGAGAATGAAGTAAGGTTGAAAATCAAGGAAAGACAGAAAAACTACATAATGTTGAAGGGCTGGTTACAAACTCTACTAAACCAATCAACAAGGCTCATAATGGAAAGAAGAACTTTTCCAACTCAAATAGGAAAAGAGAAAACTTCAATAAAAAGGATTTTCGAAATAAGAAGAAGAAAGGTCCTTGTTTTGTATGTGGCAAGTTGGGACATTTTGCTAAGGAATGTCATCACTGAAAAGGCTACAAAAAGAAGGAAGCCAATTTGGTGGAAAATAGTGAAGACATGGTAGCCATGCTTACCGAAATTCTTATGATAACTAATGATGAAGATTGATGGGTTGATTCGGGTGCAACATATCATGTGACTCCTCACAAGAGTGTCTTTAAGACTTACGAGGATATTAATAGCAAGAAGGCCGTATTCATGGGAAACTTCTCTACAAGTGCTATCATGGGAAAAGGAACCGTGCAACTTCCTCTTACTTTCGGGAAAGTTCTTACTCTCATGGATATTTATCACATTCCGGGATTGAGAAAAAGTCTTATCTCTGTTAAAAAGCTTGATGATCATGGTTTTGGAGTTGTATTTTATTCCCAAAAAGTGATCATTTCAAAGACATGATCATTTGTTGGAAAAGGCTATGTCAAAGAGAATATGTATTTGCTTAGTATGAATAAAAAAGTTTCTATTTCTACTTATACAATTGATTCACATGATAATGATGTTTGACATTATAGATTAGGACACATTGATAGTACCACTATGAGTCACATGATTTCACATAATTTTGTGCCTACTAATAGCCGTATTCTAACTACTCAAAATTGTAAATGTTGTGCTCAAGCAAAGATTGTTAAGCATTCATTTAAATCTGTCTCTAGATCTACTAAGTTGTTAGAATTAATTCATATTGACATATGTGATTTTGACTACAGGAGGAAAAAGATATTTTATAACTTTCATTGATGACTATTCTAAGTATACTTATGTTTATTTGATTAAAACAAAAGATGAGGCTTTGAAAAGTTTAAAATATTTAAAGAAGAATTTGAAAACAATCTTGGGAAAAGAATTCAAAGGATTAAATCCGATAGTGGTGGTGAATATCGCCTAAATGAGTACATTAAATTCTGTGAAATGCATGCAATATTTAGAGAAGAGTCAACCCCTAATTCTCCCCCTCAAAATGGTGTGGCCGAATGGAAAAATAGGACTTTGTTAGAAATGGTTAGTGCTATGCTATTACAATCCAATTTGTCTACTAGTTTTTGGGGTGAAACCTTATATACTGCTTGTCATATAACCAATAGAATCTTGCACAAGGATCAAGATAAAACTTCTTATGAGTTCTGAAAAAATAGAAGGCCTGACATTAATTATTTTAAGGTTTGGGTTGAATAGCCTATGTGTTAGATGCAACACAAAAGAGACCTAAGTTAGAAAGTAAAGCCACGAAATCTATATTTGTTGGTTATGATATGCATAGTAAAGCATCTAGATTTTTAAATTTGAGTACTAATAGTGTTTTTGAATCTACTCATGCCATTTATTTTGAATACTTGACTATTAAAGATGCAAATAGACATGAATTAGGGAAAGACTTAATAATTGAGATTGATAAATTTGATATCTCTCAAAATAATGAAGAGAATTCTCATGATATAGTTAGTGGAGATAATACTAATAGAGAAGTAATAGTTCAACCAAGTGAATTGAAGAGTAAAAGATGGATGATTGAAAAGGATTTAGGACCCAGGATGTTTACATATTCTATAGAAGAAGGTCCCAAAACTTTTAGTGAAGCCATGTCCCTACCCGATGCTGATTTATGGAAAAAGGCTATGGATAATGAAATTAAATCCATTCATGATAATAACACTTGGACATTGACTAATCTTTCTCCTAATACTAAAACTATAGGATGTAAATGGGTTTTAAGAAAGAAACTTATAACTGATGGAAGTATAGAAAAATATAAAGCAAGATTAGTTGCTAAAGGGTTTAGTCAAAAAGAAGGTATATATTATTTTGAGACCTTTTCACCAATGACTAAAATAACATCTTTAAGAATAATGTTTGCAATTGCTTCTATCTATAACTTAGAAGTACATCAAATGGATGTTAAAACTACTTATCTTAATGGTACTTTAGTGAAAAGATTTATATAAATCAACTTGAAGGTTATGTAGTTAAAGGAAAAGAAGATAAGGTATGTAAATTAAATAAATCCTTATATGGTCTTAAACAAGCACCAAGACAATGGTATGAAAAGTTTAAGAAAGAGATTAAGAATTTTAGATTTAAAATCCCAAAAGTAGAAAGTTTTGTGTTCTATAAGACTAAAAATGATTATAAAGTTTTGGTGACCTTATATGTTGATGATTTTTTGATATTTGATTCTAACTTATATTATGTTAATGAAACTAAAAGGTTTTTAGCACAAACATTTGACATTAAA